CACACACACACACACACAAAGCGGTGACTCAGCCCTCTTTTGGGTCCCTTGCTTTGTGGACAGCCCTTTTGGTCCTTCAACTGCCAAGTAGCTCATGTACATACACAGACACACTCACATAAATATAGACCTTGGTTGTCTTGAAGATGCACAGTTGTGTGTGTGTGTGTGTGTAGGTAGGTGGAGGTGGACGGGGGCTTTAGTCAAGACATCATCTGATGTCAACAATTTCCGACACATGACATGAGTCATTCTTTAATTAGGGTGTTTTCATGCTGTCTTAGTCCTCTGGGTAATGAAGTGTCCTATTAGCCTGTTTGGACTTGATTAAAGACACACACTCCAATTTGTGTGTGACACCGGTCAGTGATGGAAGATGAAGATGTTAACAGACAGAAGAGCAAGAAAAAGCTGTGATTCTTTTAACAGCTAGAGACTGTTGGAAGAAGTGGATCTCATGGTTTCGGAAGTATGAGAATAAAGTCAAATGTAACTTTTCTGTCCATAAAACTGGAATATATCTTCTATGTTTGCTCTTTTTTCTGTTATCAGTAGTTCAAAGCCGTTCATGTCAAGCTAGATTAGTTTTTTGGCCATTTTCCCTTCACAGTCTCAGCTAACTGTTGACCTGGGCATGAAGTAAGCAGACATGTGCAACTAGGACATGATCCCTCACCGCTTCCCACCTGTTCAGTAATAATACAATGCATATTTAGTATGTGAAAGATATGATGATGAAAGGAGTACTTTATGGAGCTGACTGTTGTCTCCATAAAGCTTCTTTAACAACATGATGGATAATTGGAGAAGCAGCGGTGACATACTGAAACTATCTACGTTTTCACAAAGTGGTGATGAAATCTGTTTGGGAAAAAGTTAAAAAATGCATTACTTAATGCAAAAATATGACTGTTCATATTAGTAGTGTGCAGTTTTGATCTTGAAACCAAGAAAATCACTCCACAGACAGCTTGCAGTGAGCAATAATCAGAGGAAATGCTGATAACATGTACACAGTAACAGAACAGATTTGAATTTTAAATAAGAATGGTAGTTTCAGGGTGTCTGTGCAGTCGCAGCTGGTTGGTGGTTGTTGCGATCTGGTGGGAGGAAAGGTGGGACTACAGAGAGGCCACTGAAGCAGCAATAAAAGCGTGCAAAATCAAGACACTAAAATTTGTGGTGGCAGCTTGCAGGAGCTGCAGGGCTGTTATCGCTGTACAATAGTTTTATCACCTGGCTGTAGGTGCAGTTTGTCTGCTTTCCTTGAGGAGCAACGAGCACAAAAGCAGCGTGGATGCTGACTGCACAGACTTCATGGAAAACAACTCTCTCACGTACTCAAGTACTCTGGAGGCCCTACAGTTTCTAATACCAGTTGACAGGGTGTCAAATAGACTTAGAGAAAGAATACATATGTGGCACAGGATGAGACTCCCTAGTTTGGTTTTACAAAAAGGGAACACAGTGATCTGCACCTCACCCAGGTGAAATATGTGTCTGGATCTGCAGGGAGGAAGAGCGTGAGAGGTAGTTTACATTTTTCACAGGGTAGTCAGGTGCACGGGCTTGTTTAGCGCATTCTAAAGGTCAGAGATTGGCACCAGCTTTAGTTGTTTAGCTTTAAATGCCACATCTAATGCGTGTTCATTTGTTGTATTGTAATTTAAGGACAGGAGAATAATTCTATTAAACCCTTGATATAGCAGTAAAGTAGGCTATTAAAACCAGAATGAAACCTGTTTTGGGACAAAGATATACAGAGAATACTGTTGAGTTTCTTTATTTTTACAGTATTAGAGCTTACATTCATAGTATAGGAGTTAATCAGCTGTATACAATCACTGAAGTTAGAGGAATTAAGTCTTAACAAGCTGAAAACAGGAGCCACAGGACTCAAGACACATTCTGATAAAAAAGACATTATTAAAAAACAATAAGAACTGTGTGTATTCTGTTTTTCAAAATGAACATTAACTACCTATTTGTCGGTGGTGGTGAGGAATATGTATAACCCTGATATAGACAGGGATTGACACTCTGTATTGAAATGCACCTTTATGACCTGCAGTTCACATCAAAGTCTGTTTTTGAAGTAACTATTGGATTGATTAAATACATCTTGCAAGGGGAGGCTGAACTAATTAGATATATGGAATCAGAATCAGAATAAGAATCAGAATTGGGTTTATTGCCAAGTAAGTTTTTACACGTACAAGGAATTTACCTTGGTGCGTTGGTGCATAAAAAATACACCAAAAAGATCACACAAAAATCAAGTACTTTGGCGTAATAAAAGTAAAAAAAGACCTCCCTTGCTCTCAAGTCAGACTATACTCCCTTCAGCAAAAATAAATATATAAATAATAATTGCACAGTCCTTTAGTTTAGCGTGTTAGCATGCTAATTAACATTTGCTAATTGGCACTAAACGCAAAGTACAACTGAGGCTGATGGGAACTCCATTAGTTTTGCTGCTAAAATAGCCCCACAGCGTGTTCATTTTTACATGAAATACTGGACTTAATCCATAAATCAGCATTGTTTGCCTTATTATGTTGGCTTTCTTCTTCATCTTGAAAAATAGCACCCGCTGTTTGCTAAGCGGGAAAATAAATTGATTCATTGGAGTGATTCTGTTTGTTTTTGATGAGAAAGGAAGCAGACTAAATGACATCCATTTTGAAAGTTAATGCAAGTGTTGGTTTGAAGCTAGCGTCTGATATCAGTCCGATGAGATTTTAAAAGCCTAAAGTAGTGCAAATGTTAAAAAAATAAGTCAAAAAAAGACTGAAAAGAGTATAAATTTGTGCAACAAAATGTATTATTGAAACATGATTGATTACATCTTAGAAGTTTTTGTGGAAGTCCGGGCTTTGTGTTTTATGACAGAGCCGCAGGGTGACTGGCGCGTCATCTCTGGGCTGAATAACATCACACTGGCACTTTGTAGAGTGGGCCACACCTGGTTTTAGAAGATGGGGAGCTCAAGGCGAACTGGCACATTTTGAAAGGCCCTTGAGATTGTCTTTGTTGTGGTTTTATTGAGAGTGATGTTGTAAAATGATATTTCCATCCCAGTATCACAGCAGATGCATCCAAGCTCCACAGGCTGCCCTGCAACCAATCAGGGAGACACGGAGACAGACATAGAACCATGGTTTTGGATCTGTTGAGGCAGAGCAGCAGGGAAGGTCCTGGAAAACAAAAAAAAGCTTAAGGTCTCTCTCTCTCTCTCACACACACACACACAGCATTCTCCGGGCCCACTCCCTCCTCTGGCATGCAGCTGATTGTTGGAGTGGCATTTAATTAATCCTGTCAGAAAAGGTTAAGAAAAAGAAGAGAGAAGGGAGGAAACAAATTTAAAGACACTGACAGAGGGAGAGACTCTGTAAGGTGCTTCATTCACCAGCTGAAACACAATTAATTTGACTGAAGCAATTTAATTTAGCTTCACTCTGCAGACAACTGAATCTGGTATACCTGAACATAAATTTAGTTTGTATGACAAAGATTAGGGCTGGTGTGGGGTAAGTAATGGAGGCGTTGCAAGTGTTCAGGTATGTCATAAATCTACATGTCACTAAAACTTCTGCAGTATGGTGTACAGCGTTCACGCCGTAGATCTCTCATAAGAGGTTGCAGCTTCATCCCCAAATCCAGGTGATGCAAGTAAATGTCAATGCCCTCCCTTTGCAACTATTATCAAGCCCTTGAGCAAGGTATTCAACCGCTGCAGGAGAGGACTTGCACAGGTTCTTTAAGCTGTTCCAAAAGGTTTCTGCCCACTGAACGAATGGGGCTCAACTAAACATCCTCAACATGGATTCCTATGCATAAATACAGTATGACTTGCATGGAGATTATAAGAGACGACCATTTTCACAGAGGTTTCCACCGCTCCGTACCACAAGATGACAATAACACTCTATCTGCAGCGGCTCATAAGGTCATCGATTATCTTATCAGGATCTGAGCTTTCTGTCTTTTAAAAAGTCATTTTCCAGAAACTCCTCGCCCACTGGAGTTGAATGAGTCTCTGAATTTCCATCCTCTCAATCACGGGGAGCTGCATCTAAAGACAATTTGAGCCAGAGAGTCAGGACAGTAGCCTGCATTGTGATAGATTAGCTCGTCTGACAGATCTGTGCTCTAATTATCCAGCCTCTCTCTATTGAGGAAAAGGGATTTCATTGTTTAAGTCGATTTCACTGTCATCAGGTGGGTTAAAAATGAGGTGGCAGCCACAAGAAAGCAAGCAGAGATGAATTAAGGTAATAGACAACTTAACTTGTGTAAATATGTTAAAGGTTGGCCTATATTCTATTGTGTATTTACTTAGACATAAGCAGCTTAGAGGTGACCTTCATTGTGACTCATGTTTGCGGCTGTCAGGAGTCGGTGACAGTGAGCACAGAGTGACGCAGCCAACACAAAGACAGGACACACAACAATGATCTGTGGTTTCCTGTGGAACAATACTTGTGCACCCTTTCTAACAACTCAGGGCCACTACATTAAACACACACAAGCCCCTACTCTGCCTGAACTGTTACTAATTAGAGTATGTTGCCATCTGCAGGCCATCAGGTTTCATGGATTCTTTGACCAGAAATGCATATTCAGTTGTCAGTATATAAGCGTCATAGCTAAAACTAATGCAGTCAATAACAACAGCCCTGTTTTTGTTGACACTGCTTCAGAGGTTTGTTGATTCAACTTTACGGTCAGTTTAAAGACTGTAGTTTGAACTGTAACACTTGTATGCAAATTATACAAGTGTGAAGTAGAAACTTGAAGCCAGCAGTGCACACACACTGAGGATGAACTTTACGGTGAAGTAAGAGACATCTTGTGCCAGCAGGAACAGAAATGAACAACATTTGCATGTTTATAAATGCTGGATTTTTCAATGAGGTAGAAGGAACTGATGACTTTTAAAGGATTTTAATGTGAAAATTATACTTTTTTTAAGCAAATAAACATATCAGACACACACTATCCAAGCATAATATTGTATATCTTAATACATATATGGAGGGTATCTTTAAATACAATGTCAAGGTCTGCACAATAAATTAGTGATTTCAGACACAGCCTCTGTCTCCCTCTGATGGAAGAAGAGGTGAGGTGCGCTACTGTGACCACAACGCGATGTCGTCATCACCTCGAGGAAGACATCAGTATGCAGGATGCACTCTGCTTAACTATAGATACCTGTTCACACCTGTGGGTCCCACCATTGCCCCTCTACCTTTGAATTAAGTGGACCCGATTTTTGAGCTCCATCAGGCAGTTATTTACCTGATGAAGAAATTACAATATTTGGAATCAAATAAAAAATGTCTTTATTAATAAGGTTTAACATTAACATTGTTCTGGCACCAGAATAAACTATGTTTCCAAGCAGAGCTGGCTTTGTCATTCATTATATTCACTTTTGCGAATACGTTTGTTTTTCCACCAATCAGATTCAAATAGTTTTTTTTAAAGATATTTTGGGGGCTTTTCATGCCTTTATTTGATAGGACAGGAGAAGACAGACATGAAAGGTGGGAAAGATAGAGGGGGGGATGACACTGAAGTAAAGGGCCCCAGATTTGAATAGAACCTGGGCCGCTGTGGTAAGGACTCATGGGGCGCACGCTCTACTATGTGACTTTTTGTCTTGGAACTTGGAACTTGGAACTCCAGATATATTTGGAACATATCATTAATAATCAATCTGACCAAATCATCTTGAATACCTATTAAATCAAGTAGAAATAAGCACACAACAGTAGGATTGTTCTCTATATGAATGTTTATTGGTCTTTAAAAAAAGAAGTCTATAAACAAAGAATTACAAGAAAATAAAAGCATATGATAGATACCTGGTTGTCGACAGCCAGTTCAATTAATGCAATAACAACCATATATGGACGTTAAACCCCAGTCAACCCCTCGTCCAGAAAGCTTCACAGATCATACAGACTCTTGCCTACAATAGAGAATCAGTGTATATTCTTTGTGTTTGTATGGTACCCTATACAGACCAGAGCCTAGAGTGTAACACTGATGCGTACCGACATACTGTCCTTCACAATGCTTAAATGTGAGAATTTCATGTGGTAGAGGAAAGAATTTGTTATGTTTTTTTCTGTGCACCATCTACAGTATGTATCTGCTATCTTGGGTAATTGCTAAGGCACTTTCTGGAGAAACTTTTTATTCCCTATTTTCACTTATTTCAAAGTGAAAAGCTGCAAATACGTGGCACACAATTTATAAAACGGTTACATCATTTTTTCAAACTAACAGCATAACACATTCAACCATTCCACGTGGATCCCCTGATCTACTGCACTAAAAGCCGGTTTATATCACTACATTAAACAACAAAACAATGATTAAAACATTCATCACCTATCTGTAAATCATGTTATTATATCAGGCTTTTTCATAAGTGTGGATACATTAGCAAGACACAAATGTTCTTAGAGGATCATAGAAACATCATTGGGCTTCCCAGACCTGGTCTGTCTCATTTCAGTTCATACTCTGTGACACAGCTTTTTCAAAATCATTTATAAAATGTCATGACAGTATTGACAAGAATTAACACACGTTTTAAAAAAACTGCTATTACATTAGAGCAGCCAGTGGAATAAACAGGTTAACAGTATAGTACCATAAGTTAACAGTAGTGTAACAACGCCCTACACCGAGATGTTGATTACTATTTGCAGCTGTGTTTCTATGCAAGTATCAAGTACATTTCTCTGAAGATAAATTACAATAAGCTGGATGTTGGCTTCCAATAATACAGGTTTGTATGAAGAATGCATCGTCTCCTGCAGCTGAGCTTAATGTTCTAAATACAAGAAGCAGGAAAGAGGTTGAACGGATTGCATCGTACAACATCAGGATGAAATCTTCTCTCCGTGTCGCTCAGCGAGTAACACTCTGTATGAGAGGGTCCAGCAGAGGGACCCCTCACTCCAGATATCTGCAGCCATGACGAGGCATTTGCATAGCTTATCTCTACCCTTATGCGATGTACTTTATACATTTAGTAATGAGCAGTGCATGTGGGCAGCTGCAATTTCATGAGTGCAGCCTGCAGAACATGATAATGCATTCAAAGCACCTGGATAGCTTCACTGAGGGTACAGTAATGGTAGAAAGGTACAGTATGTTTTACATGAGTTGTAGTTATGACCATCATATACACAGTTTATGTTAATGTAATATGTAAAAATGTAAAATCAAGTTATAGGAAAAAGATCGGCACTGCAGTGAAGATGGAAGATGGGAGAGGTCAACTTCAAGTATATTACAGTTCATTAAGGGACTGTACAAAAACTATACAGGGGGTGGTCTGAAAATGGGACGGTCATGCATTTTTTTCTCTAATTGTTTCTCATTCCTGATATATATTTTATTCCATTTTTCACTGGTGAGATTTATTGTCAAAATTGAAAATATTAAATATATATTACTTTGCCAAATGTGCAGGACAAAAAAGGATTGTCTTTGTATCTGGGCCTTATTTTCCTACATGCAATCAAGTAGCTAATAGGCCTCTGTCCGTTTTGAGAAGCAGAATGATGTGGATCTTTACAGGCAGTTTTCAGTGACTGACTAAAGATTATCTCTGGAGGGAGTGTGTCATTTTATACCAACCCACAGCAGAAGTACAGTTAAATGAGCTGGGCGATATATCAAATTGCATGTTGTGTAAAATGTCTAAATCATGAAAATCAAGTTTAATTTCAGTCTTAAAGTGACATTAATGATCGCCGCCTGCAGTCTGTCTCTACCTGCTTGGTAGCTAACACTACCTAGCATCTATCCGCAGATATCAGGCTCAGGTCTTGTTAAAAAACAAAAGCAGCAGGAGATGAATTCATAAATTATATTATATTTTCTATTTTGGCCATATCGCTTATCCTCAAAATATTAATAATACTTGGCAGATTCATACTTTTGTATGTAGTGAAACAAAAAGTTAAGCCCCCCTCCACATCCCAATATTTTTTATACAGTCCCAAAAAAGACCTTCCTTTTCTTTGCTTTATGCGAAGAAATCTTTATATTTACGCTGGAATCCAACACTTTCTTTCTTTCACAAGCTCCGGAAAAAGCAGCAGGAAAACAATGTGAGCTATCAACTCATTGCATTGATTGTATTGCACTCAGCATGACAGTGATGTATTCATCAAAACCTTGAAAAGTTTATATATCAGCATTTCTTTGAACCCCATTAGCCTGTCAACATTCCAGTCTTCACTTTCAGCACAAGATATAGTTTTGTTTCTAACATCAGCATTCATACAGTATGATCTCCTTTACCCCGCTGACATTCTGTTTTTTTTATAATTGAAGAATGTGATTTTTTTTTCAGGTCAGGAAAGACAGCTCGCTCTGTAGGTGATGATCCTCAGCTGCTGCATACCTGCGAGTTCTGGTGCGGTCATCGTGACCTGAAATAAACTGGCGTGTGTGTGTGTGACAGAGAGATAAAGTATGTGTGTGTGAGAGTGTGGAGGGGGTTACTGATGATAATGCTAACATTTGCACTCTCCTCTGCTCCGGTGCACTAATGCTCATCACCACAGCACCAGCAAACCAACGAAAAAAGGCCACACAACGGAGCAGAGCACTTGACTCCCTGCAGCTCACATTGATCGCATGCCTCTCAATATGCACCGCTGACCGTTTCAGTGTGAAACCCTGCTCTCTCCACTTTAGTGAGCTTCAACCAGTCTAAGAAGCGCTGGAACTCACTTAAAAGCTTTCATATGATTAATAAAAACGACTCTCTTTTGCACGCAGATGTAAAGCTCAATATTAAGGACACATTAGGTGCTGATGGCTCATTAACCGAGGGACGGAGAGAGAGAGAGAGTACAATCTTAAGATGGCAAGAGGAGAGGGGATCATATGCACAGTAGCAGACCATGCCCCTCCCCCTCACTAAGTGCTGCAGAGATGCAAGGGAATGTGTGTGTTTGACTGTGTGTGCATAGGAGGAGGGGGGATGGGGAAAATGAAGTGTGTATTTATGTGTGAGTGGAGGCGGTTCCTACAGTTGATGATGATGGTTGCAGATGAAGCAGGGTAAGAGAACGGACAGGACAGGAAATGGATCGGCCTGTGGTGGAGGTGTAACCTCAGCAAGGCCCAGTTCCTCTCTGCTCTGCCAGCACTTCATGCATTATCAGCTGGAGGAAGTTTTCACACACAGAAAGGAAAAAAAGGGGTTAGATTCACTGGGTACCGATGTTTAGACATGGTATTGCTCGAGTTTTTTTTAATATAAGCTATGCAAAGATTAAAGATGTTTTAACATCAAGCCCCCAGAGGATTAACTCAGTAAGAAAGCTCCTCTCTACAGGGCTGAAGGAGATGCTTTCAGACCGAGCTGCCCAGGAGGGAGATTGCCGGCCCGTTGTAGTACAGTGGGACAAGGGGCCTGAGTTCTTCATGAGCCTCCCAGGACGGGAAAATGTGCTTCTTTTCACGTGTGTCATGCTTATGAGGTCAGACAGCAGAGTGCACAATGCACTCCTCAGCCACTGCTCCGCGCCGCTATGTGCCAAAGCTCCTCATGCACAATCTCACACATATACACACTTGAGTGCACACAAACATACATAAAGATCTATCTTATGCACACACACACACACAGACTCACAATCCCTCCCTTTTTCTCTAAGCTGGGACCAGCCAGCAGCAACAACAACCATCCATGGCTTTGACCCTGAATCAAACATTGAGAGAAAGAGGGGACGGGCGGGGGTCCATAAAAATAGGACAAGTTGTTTCTGTAGAAAAATAGAGGAATTTCCAGAGGCTGATAAAATGTCTTTGGCACTTCTGAAAACACAGCACACATAAAGAAATCTACAGTATAAAAGGCCAGACTAGAAAGCTCTACAGCCAGAAAAAGATTAGGATAATCCAAGTTCATCCATATATGAGTCTGGCCAGTCCTGGGTGGATTTGAGCCTGAACAGGCCCGTATTCCACCATCTCCCCATCCACAGTGATCATGCCTTGTGGAGAGATGGGCTCCAGCCGGAGGGCCTTCACCTTCTCGTACACCAGGTGGGGGCAGCCGCACGCCAAGTGGGCGCCCTTCTCCATGGCGAGGAAAAGGCGCAGGAGGGCGGGACGGGAGATTCCTGCTGTCACGTAGAACAAGTGAATTGTCCCATCGTCTGCCATTGCACCAGGGACTGTCCACAGGTCCTCAGCCAGGTGGGACTGGTAAATAGCCAGCACCAAGACAAAGTCCTCCTCCTTGACCACAGTCCAGCTCTCTGGGACTGGCTGGTCCAGGCCAGGAAGCAGAGAGTCCACCGGGGCTCTGGTTTTGCCATCACTCTGGGTCTCAGGTCTCTTGGTGGTGATAGCATTGTTGGAGGAGTTGGTGATGGTGTTGTGGTTGGAATTGGTGCTGGTGTGATTGTGGCGGGAGTTCTGGTTTGGAGAGGTGTTGGGGATGAGCCGACAGGGAAGGGAGGCGCAGAGTGAGGGGTGCTGAGGTGTGGAGGGAGGGTGGTTAGCCTTGATGCTCCCTTTTGGAAGTTTTGGCGCCTCATTAATGGGCAGATATGCTAACCTGCCTTGATAGACTCGCAGGGAGGCCAGACGCACCAGGGTGCCCATCAGGAAGCGGATTGCTCCGACATGGCGGTACTTCTCGCTCTCGATGTCGACGTCGGCCACGAAGCCCCAGGCCAGGGAGAGGAAGGAGAAGAGGCGCTGCTGAGAGGCCAGGTGGATCGACACCAGGTCCAGAGAACCTACCAGACCTTTGCACAGCATGAAACCACAGCTCAGTAGCAGCTCCTCGTTCCACGCTGGAGGCGACCTGGGAGATCGTTACACACATCAAGAGTTACAATGAAAGCCTGATACAACATCACATGAGAGTGTTACGAATTAGTGTTGTTACGCAATAAGAAGTTAATATATTTATTTATTGTGTTTCTCAGTATAAGCTCATAAATAAGATCTACACAATGGTTGTGCCATCATTTCCATGGCTAAATATCATATCTAAATATGAGAAATTCTGCATTTCCTGAGTAAAATTGGAATAAGCAAGAGTCTTAAGCCATGCTAGCGACTCTGTGAGGCTGTACTGAGGCTTAGAGCTAAATGCTAATATAAACATTCTAACACAAGCAATGCCATGTTTAACATATTCACCAACTTTAGTTTAGTGCGTTAGCATGCTGACCAAAGTCATCACCAAAGTTATTACAGTTCATCTTGAGGTGGACAAATTTTCAATTCGCCTAATGACATTAGCTCTAGCAGTTTTAGACTGCTAATAGAGTTTTCTTCCTCTATACCTAAAGAAGAAAAAAATCTCTGACTGACTTATTGACTCACTGGGACTCATGATCCCAGTATTCTGGGGTGACAAATATATTTCTGTTTTTTTCCACTGATGTTGTGCCCACAGCCCACCAGCAGATGGAGATAATATATTGAACGTGCTGGGTCGACCGGTTCCACAGCTGCACTCTGGACCATAATCACTCATAATGTGCAAGTTTCTAAACCCATTACATCATTCCTATGAGAGTTATCAGCAGCCTGAAATGACCTCTGCTACACAGCAGTTCCTGTCTGCTCCACTGTTTCTTCTCCCACCTGAGGGATGATGTGCCCAGTCAGCCTTTGGCATAATTACACAGAAAGGAGATAAATCGTTCATTTTTAGACTGAGGAAGGTTCTTCTTTGCTCTTCTTTTCTTCTGTTGGTCCATGCATTTAAATGACTCATTAATGGACGCACTCACTGTGAGTAGTGGTGGACAGAGGCAGCCAGGGCATTGCCTGAGCCACCTGGTAGAATACCCAGAGGGGTCTGGATTGCCTCTTGCCAGTCCTCTCGCTCCATCAGGCCATTTATCACCTGAATGAGAAGAACAAATTCAAAAAAACAGAATCAGATCATGGTCCTACATAGAAAGTAGTCTGTGTGTGACCAAAAGTTATGATAAAATGTGTTTCTTTGATGCAGCTGTTCCGTGTCAAGGGAACCTGGCCACCCTGCCTGAAAATCTATACATTCATAACACAGAACAGTGCTGAGCAGAAAAGTAACCACACAATGGTTGGTATTTGTTTTAAATATCGTCCATAATTCCTTTAAAAAAACTGAAAAGAGCGAACCATCTACAGAACAAAAATAAGGCTATTAATCAATGACTGTGGAGATTTAAGGTACCAGGCTCTTTTGTCATGTCTAAGTGCAAATTAAAATTTTACAGGCCTATTCTGAAAAGTGCTATGAATAGAAACGAGAGTGAGAGGGTTTACATCAGTTTAATCTGTGAAAGATTTGAAATGCCCAAATAAAAACAAATCAAAGAAATAAGGTGAAACACAATACACACTGTCCTATGCATTTCCTTTATATATACAGTAAAGTCATAACTTGATAAAAAACACAAGTTAAATGCCAATTATTTAGCTTTTTGTCCTTAAACAAAGTGAAGAGGTGTATTGCAATTCAGTGTGTCCAGAAGATAGCACCATGGATCTGCCAAACACAAATGTCAGTAGATGTATCATGAATGCCAAAATGGGCAAACAGACAGCTGTGTTGCAGGTTTCCCGTTAAATCAGTTTCCTGTGAGCGACTTGTATTAACCAGTTACATTTGTGATTGGCAGTAGTTATAAGAAGCTAAATTGTTCTTTTAACATGTTTTTGTTTATTTATGACACAGTGAACACAAAGGAAATACATATCACAACGTGTATTGCATTCTTTATTTGATTTGTTTTTATCTAGGCATTTTAAATCCTCTATACTGACCCACATCATTATCAAACCATAATAGGATGAAAGGGTAAGGTCAAAGCACCTCAAACAGCAGCCCATCTCCAGACATGATAACCAGGGCATCACATTGTGACAGGTCCGCCTTCTTCACCAGCTCCCGCGCGTGGTTCTGGTGCTCTGAAAGAAAGACAGGACGAGAGAGAAAAACAAAAGAGACACAACAGAAATTGTGGCAAAGTGTAGGACAAACTGGAAGAAAAATAAAAACAAGGGCAAGGGCAGAGAAAGAGACATGTTGCCATCATCGCCAGCCTCTGGGGTAGGATCAGGGAGATTAGGCAGAAAAGAGATTCAATTTCCCCCACATCACATTAGCCCATCCAGTGGCTACTCAACAGCTCCAAGGCAGCTTAGCCACCCTGCAAACATCTGTTACTGTCAAATATCTGCATGTGTATATGTGCATTCACTGGATGCATGCGAGTGTTCATTGTGTGTGTGTGTGTGTGTGTGTGTGTGTGTACATGTAAGTGTTGGTTAATGCGTTGGCAGAGGGCTGAGCTATTTGTTCAGCCTAGTTTTATTGGCAGCGTCCTTGAGTGGGTCCCTCTGCAGGGGTCTCTGTGGGCTCATCCCGCCAGCATTAAAGTCTACAGTCCTACCAGCCCTAGACTCCCCAGTGTAGAGTGTGGTGTGTGTGTGTAAGAGACGGCTTTAGAGAGAAAGAGATGTGGGGAGGCAGAACAGGCAAAGAAGTTATGCCGTATTGATGCACTGCGGCATCCTGAAGGGAAATAATTGTTTCCGCTTCAGGCTTTCAAGTATTGATGCGAGGACCAGAAAGTGAAATAAAAACAACTCCATCCTCCGTCCCGTTCCCCCGTTTAACTTTGCTCCAACCTCTACCCGATGTCCCCCCCCCCCCCCCCCCCCCCCCCCCCCCCCGGCCTGGTGTTCCCCATGTTGCTGCTGTTTGTTTGCTATGTGCTGGGGAGGCTGGAGGCGGTGATGCAGTGGTGTGTTAACAGACAGAGGCAGACGGAGTAACTGCACTGCACAGCTGACTCAGCACTTCAGAACCTGCCGAGGCTCCAGCTGATGCTTTACAGCCACGTCCTTATTCAAGGGGTCACTGCCAAACACACAACCTAGACCTGGAGACGGGGGCGGCTCATGGTTTTCATACAATCCAACTGCCGAATCCTCTTTGAGCTGCACAGATTGTGGCTGATAATTACACCGTGTTTAGGCAACGCATAAGCACACGCTTGAAAAGTTGTTTCACTTCAAATGCAGCATTTTCCCTCTCGTGTCGCACTCTACCGCCTTCTTCTGAGGTTAACCAGGGTAAAGATAAAGCTCGGTACACTGGATGCTTCATACAGTATGTAAAAGGTACATGCTGACACAAGAGGCATCTCCACTGGAACTTGTCCTTCCTCGAGCAAAGGCTGTGTGATACATTCATCAAGGAGATGCATGCTAGCGGAAAATGGGTTGTGCCTCTTAATCCACTCATAGTCACTTGTTACTACCGTTACCCACCACTGAAGGCCCTCAGCGACCCGTAATCTCCCCCCTCCGCTCTGTTCTGCTCCATTCCTCTATGGCTTGGGTCAACATCGGTAATTACTCTGTCTTTTTTCATCACCATCCAGCTGCTGACCTTCCTTTAAGCCCCAGGAGTCGGCACAAAGAGCCCGCATGTGCATCAGCACTCCTTCTCAAACACAAACACACTCACACAAACACAGTTTCTCCCTCCTTCTCCTCTGTCTTTGCTGTCATATTCCGTCTTACTTTGAGCTCCCTCAGAGATTCAGCTGATGCACTGCTAAGTTGATGCTGCTGAAGAGACAGCTAATCCTTACCTGTCAAACTGCTGGTCCTGTCCAACTAGGGCCGGTTGTTGGAGTGGAGGGTCGGTGAAAGCTCAAAGGCTAAATGATTCAATGTACATGTTTTTCCTTTTGGCGTTAAAGCTCGCCTATCCCTGTTTTCCAGCAGCTCGATTTTATTCAGAGAGGGGTCACTTAGAGTTCAGAGCCTCCGATGACAGTAACTAACACATGACACTGTTTAAGGTCACAAAAAGCCACCAGCAACTCACACAGAATGTGGAGCAGCTGGGGAGACTGAAACGAGAATTTAATGAGTATCTTAGTACATGTGCCCGAGTGTTCGCAGTTGTGTATGTGTGTGTGATATGACATGATGATGATATATGTGACATGATACATGCTTAACATGTGGCTTGTGAATTTGTGTTAACACACATAATGCAACATAATAATAATCATAACTGCTGCAGACAATAAAAATGTGTTTATTCTGTGAAGGTTTAATCCCTTCATTTCATGTCAGGTTGACCTTAAGAGGAGTGCCAGCTAAATGCATGGACAATAAAGGTCTGTAGGTGCGCGTATGCTACTGACCTGTGATGACGAGTGTGTAGGGAACAGCGGCCTCAGTGAGCATGCCTTGTATGTGGCCGGTAAAGAGCTGGAGAGCCTGGCCGCGACCACTGAGAGGGTTCACCAGTATCATGACTCTGCAAGGCCGACGCACCTCCATGTACACCACACCTGAGACAGAGAGAGGTGGATGTAAGCGGGGGCAAGGACGAAGATGAAGCAAGAGGACAAGAGGAGGTCTAGTTATGCATGATCAAATATTTGAAAGAGCGCATAAGGACAGGCTCGTCCCTCGGGGGAAAAAAGAGCATTAGGCAGTAAAGTCATGAGCTGTGACAGCGTTCAGGTAGATGATCTAATGTTAATGTGACGTGCTGATTTCTTCAAGGGGAGAGGGCTTATGGATGCTGCTCATACCGATTATTAATAGCAATTCTTTGACATTTTATTAATCCCCATGAGGAAATCCTCCTGTTGCTTATGTCTCTTGAGGGAAGACAGAGTAATGGAGTGACTACACTTCATTACCAAGGGGTTGACTCTTGCAGAACAGCGTTCAACTGCGGTTATGAAGATTAAAAGTTGAATTATAAGAAATCAAAGGAAAGCAACTAGGTTAGATTTTAGTTAACTAATGGATAAAGAAGTGACAAATCAGAGGTATGTGTCTATGTGTCTGTTTTTGAGACAGTTTTACATTTTGGAACATGTTTACCGTTTCGGTTTTGTAGGGTAAATATGAAGCCAGCAGCTGTTTAGCTTAGCTTAGCACAAAGACTGGAAACAGGGGGAAACAGCTAGCCTGGCTCTTTGCAAAAATAACAAAATCCACCAATCAGCACCTCTAAACCTCCTAAATGGACATAAATGTGTTGGTAGGCAGATTGTGTTACCATTGGATAGCACCAGACGAGCTGCTTCTGCTCTTTATGCTAAGCTAACCTAGTTGTATCAAATTTCTCATCTAACTCTCAGCAAGAAAGCAAATACGTGTTTCCCAAAATGTCAAACTATTACTTTAAGGGCAAGGGGGGGAAACGAGTATTGATTAAAATATGCCTGTGAAGTTCAAATGTATAGACTATGTGAGCTATGATAGCAGCTGTAGTTGCAAAGTGGTTCAGTAGGTCGACTAAAACCTTACAAATGGTTCTAATGTAATGGATCTTAAATGATCTCTTAGAATGAATAGCTATAATACTAAATAAGTTATTTGTTCCACCTCATAAAGTTCCCATTAATTTTGAATTATGTGGCAAGATCCTGTTTAGCCATTTCATTGTAATACAGGCTGCCACTAAAAGGGTTTGTAGCTTTTTAAAGTGACTGTGGGGATAAAGATTTTTCAGCTGATGCCCTTGACCTTTAAAGCGGACACAGACTCACCAGAGACCATATCAAATGAATCAGAAAGGAAAAAAATAAAATCCATTTTGGGGTTTGGGGAGGACGGATATTTCCGTGTCAATTTCCACCATAATTATTTGGCTGCAGGCGATGCTGACTTTGCCAACAGGCACACACAAAATGTGAGCACATCTTGCTCATAATGCAAATGAATCAGGACATATACAGTAAGATAAAAGAATAACATCTGGCTGCGTGATTATCTTCTTAACATTTCAGAGCCTCAATTTCCTGTACTGTGATCTGCGGTGCACCTCTGCTGCTGCTGCCAGCCTCTACCTCATTTGGCCCGTGATGATAGGACACGGTGGAGGTACAGAAATATCTCAGAGAGAGGTGCGAACCCACCAGGAAGGATGAGGAGAGAGTGCAAAAACACACAGGCACATGCCAAACTCTGCCTCCATTCACCCACACAGGGTTACCATTGTTTTTTTTTTTAGCTTGTATCAGAGCACAATGTGGCTTTCAGACAGAAATGGTCCCCTCTGCACTTCCAGAATATAGTGGAAACTGAAAGTGAAAGACCTTTAGATTCAGGTTTTTCACTCAAGTGTGCTGAGCTGAATGGCATACCCTTGTTTTTTATGTCTTGTCTTCATTAGTCTGCATGGCTCCAGACCTCTAAATCACTGCACACATCTCTACATTTCTTTTTCAGCAATTCAAACAGAATGATGAATAATAAAAGCTGCTCTGATTATCATACTACAGCTTTACTCTGAAGGGGCTGCACTCAAATCACTTGTCACGCAAGGGAATCTACTTTGTTGATTTAAATCACTTGGAAGATGCAAATTCTGTCTATTACTGTATTGTAATTAAAAAACATAATCACAGTTTAGGACATGGTTTTACATACTGTGATCTATTTTCATAATCAGTGAATGTCAGTATTCAAGCAAAAAAATCATCCTTTTTTTAAGATGTGAGACTTTTTTTGTGGTAACAAACTCAATATCGTTAGATTTTGGAGTTTAAGTCAAACAACACAAGCAATCTGAAGACATTTCCTCGGATAATAGAAACGGTGTGGACAGTAATTTATTAAATTCATAATCGATGGTGAAAATAATCCTAATGTAATGTAACCCCATATAAAAAATGAAAATTAAGATGAGAGAGTTTTGAAAGCACTGGCACAAGCAGTATTTATATTTTACTTATATTACCAACACGTCGCACAAAGGTTGCATTTTATACATTTTATGGAAATGTTCTGATCCATTTATCAGTCATGATGACTGATTATGAAATGCTGATTATGAATCAGTCGCAAGTTTATGAGGTACATTTATTAGAAATAAGGCCTTAATACAGCCTTCATAAAGTGACTGAGATATATTTCTAATCCATCCACTGGTAAACATTCATATTGATGAAAATGGAGTAGACAAAATATTAGAAAGACCTCTCAGCATAATGCAATAACTGCACCACAAATGACAGCCTGAGTTAAATCAGTATGACTCTAAAGCAGTTTAACCTTCATGAAGGGAGGATTATTGCAGGACTGTGGTGTTAGACTGCATTATTGTGTAAATATTACACAAAATGATTATATTACATATATATTATATACCATTATTCTGACAAAGTAAAGTATAAAGGCAATCCTTTAATACTTTATACAGGAGGTTATAACTGCATATAAAGTCAAAGAGCAAATGTTTCCTCTTGAATGAGCTCTGTCAAACAGTGGTGTGGGTCGGGCCTATTATTATATATATATATTGTTAACAGGACAGGAATTAGACAAAACACTGCTACTTTACACTGCTGCTATTCTAGTGAATTATTGATTAATTATTCATCTTCAGGCTGTTGAAAAAAACAGCTTGTTGACATATGCAACCACCAACGAGGGGTCACACACACGTTGCATTGTTTTAAGGGGTGACGAGCCTAAAAGGTTCTGTCTCCAAAAATAGCTCAGACGATCCTCATGGACTGTGTTTGTGTGTGTGTGTGTGTGTGTGTGACAGGAAGACAGATGCAGGGGGAATGAGGGTGTATGTGAAATCCGTCTGTGATGTGAAGTCAGATACCTGCAGGCAGATCCGGCCCGTCACACCGGCAAGCAAACTTTCAACTGCAGTGTGTGTGTTTCACAGTTACAAGTGGATAAACATACACACAGGGAGCCAGGCGACAGGCAGGCAGGGAGTGACAATGTGCCAGCGGTAACAAGCACCGAGATGACAGAGAAACGTTATTCCCTGGTTGCCACGAGTGTATTCTGATTGTTGCAAAATACTAAATAAAGACGCAATATATCTTGAGTTTCTTATACTGCAGCACAGGTGGGATTTGTTCAACCATGACACCATTCAGGAAATCTTGGAGCAGAAACAAATATGTGAGTTATTCACTGAAAGCTGTCTTGTTTAAGAGTAACTCTATATCCAGACTGGACTGTCGTGTCTGCAAACAAGCTGCATTCCAAGGTTGGGTGAGTGTTTGCTGGAGAGAGGAGGGGAAGAGGTCCAGAGAGCATAAACACAACAGCCCACTGAGGCATTACAAGGCTTGGGGGAGGATGGGGGGGGGTGGTGCTGACAGGCCATCACAGCCGCGTGTCACGGAGTAGAAGACGAAGGCCCCCGGAGGGACAGAGATGCTGGACGGGGTGAGAGGTCGTCTGGTGACGCATTTTTAGCTCTCCTTCACCGAGGAAGCCGCAACGGCCTCGGGGGGGAGAGATCACACACTGACACACACACACACCTGACCCTGCAGCTGCTGAAAAACTGTCGCTTTTGTGGGAACTGAGCAAACCGCAGTTCCCTATCCTCTCTTCTGCACACTCCAAGTTGTTACCCCCGACACACAAATACTCACATTTGTGCTGAAGGACTTTTTGTGGGTCAGGCACAAAAGTTTTGGAAAAATCAAGACAATGCACAATGCCGTGAAAACAATGCTGCAAAAACTCTACAATGTATAAATGTTAAATCTGTAACTGGCCTTCTACCAGCTGCTTGAAGAGCAGAAAAGGATACAGTCAGTAGCAATGAAGGCAGCCACTGGTAGACAAAGTCAAAGCAAGTAACCATCATCTCATTCCCTTGCATGCTATCTCACTGTGGTTCTTCTAAGCAGGGGAAATATTGTAGAAGACCATTAGCGTGTGTAGGACTGTATCATAGAGTATGCACTTCATTATTTACGGCTCATTCATTCCAATGAACCTGCAGTGAGAATAAAGCCTGTGAGAAAATCGCTGCGATGGACTAAATTCTAAAGTTAGTAGAGTTACAACTTCATTGTAAAGTATATTGAGGCATATTAAATTCAGTGTTTATCCACTTTATACCACAGTGAAAGTGTGCCACAGTGATAGCTCTCTGACTAAATACCAATCTTGCGCCGCAGTTGGACTTTTAATCCAACCTTTCCATCTGCAATGCCAGATGAGATGACATGCAATTAACTTAGGGGGTAAATATAAGGGATTAGAGGCCCACACTGACTTTCACACACCCTCTATCACAAGACGGTATTCTGCTGCATCTATTACCACAACATTACTCATTTAAGCGACATAATATATTCTGTTAAATACTGTATTATTGGCTGGCCTGGATCTGGAACGCTAAAACAAGCTTATAAATTAATGATATGATCGCATCATCACTGAGACGCTGTGTTCAAAAGAGGCTACAAAAAAAAACAAAAATCTGGGATGAGAGACCAACGCGACGCTCTTGGATACTGATCTGGTTCATTAGTATGTGTGATCTGAAAACCTCCCAAGCTGGAGCTCTTTGATGAGTCCAGTAAGCGGACAGTGACAGGGGGTGAGGAGCTTGGGGGGGGGGGCTGCCCAGTTACCTCTCAGGTTACCATCTGCCTGCCTGCCTGGCATTCAGGGCTGAAACCCAAACTCCTGCTGGCTGTAGAGCAGAGGGAGGCTGGATGTTCCTCCTCATCACACAGAGCCCAGTCTCTGTGTTTGCTGTGTACACCTGGAGGCTGCTACCAGGAGGATAACCTCATTCCTTATCCTGCCCCCGTCCAACACGGCAACCAACATTCCTAATTCGTCACTGTCAGGTCAAATATCCGCTTCCTCTTTGACCTGCTGCCCAGGAGTGCACCCCTGCTTTATATTTGAAACAGTTAAATGTTTCTACGTGAGGGAAAAAAAAGGTTATTACCTGACCTGACAGAGCCACTTCAGAATTTGCTCTCTAATGACGAACAGAATCCACAGTTTGGGACCCAAACAGCTCTTTCTCCTCCTCAGCAAGTGTCACCCCTTCCTCTCAAATGACTGGTAATTAGCTGCATAAACACTTCTCATATTGCAATCGCATTAATTACTGTTTCATTGTGTACCAGGACGGATAAGCTAATGAGATTGTAAGACAAAGGAACCTGAGGACAGTCTGTCTTTTAAACAGAGCGAGACATGATGAGACCTAATTAGACGTAGCTGCTGCAAAGCAGGATGATAAACAAGCTTTGTTTTGATGTGATTTTTTCCCCCCACCCATCAACAATACAGCCTCAGTGGGAATTCACTGAGCAGGAATAATGAAGCCTGAGCAGCGAATACACTCTCTCCTGACATAGGACCAGTATAAAACTGTTCAGTTTTGTGTGTGTGTGTGTTTACAGCAGGCTCCAGATCCAGAATCATCCCCCTCATGTGGGCAGTTTGAATGAATGAGGCAGCTGTTAGTTGCTGCTGGCTGCTGGATCACCTTTCAGGGCAGGTAGAGCAGGTTACTGAGAGGAATGTGTGCACTCCCCCTCCAAACCTGTTTTTGACAGCAGGAAGGTGAACTGTGGGGCATCAAGCGGGACTTCCTGAGAGTCCGATCAGCCTACTTACAGGTTAACCTACAAGTTAACTTCACAAGACTTCTGTCACACAGAAAGAGAAGTGAAATCACTATCACGGACTATATTCAGGTGCCACTGAACTCAGAGCTTACTTTATCATATTCATACCCCCCCTCTTGTTACATGCAGGCCTGTACTTGTCATCATATAAAGTTGCATGTTAATCTTTCCGCCTCCCCCTCGGTGCTCACCGTCTCTCCGGGGCGCCTGCCGCGCGGAGGCATCTCTGATGGCCCGAGCCCACCTCTCAGCCTCCTGGAGGTTGGCGAGCGGGTCCTGGACCAGCGCCACCCGAAAGCACTGCTCCACTCTCTGCCGGGCCACTCCGGCGCTCATCCAGCGCCTCTTGAACGGGTAGAAATAGGCGGTAAAGTAGGCTCCGACGTCCGCGCTGTCCGGCCCTCTGTACGCCCGGCAGCCGACACAGTCGGTCAAGTTAAAGACCACCTTAGTCCGGCCGGGTGACGAGGAGATCATCTGGATGGTCAGGGCGCTCTCCGTCAAGCTCACCGAGTACCGGACCCTGTCGTTGAGCGCGTCGGTGAACTCCCCGTACAGCACGCCCACGACCCCGTTCCGCTGGTGGGACGGGTCCGGTTCAGAGGCGCCTTTCTCCATCCCGGACGGAGAGTGCGACGCGTCCCGCAGGCCGGTGTGCGGATGGCGGTGCGGTGCAGACTCTGATCCGATCAGCCTGCTGTGCTGTGGGACCCTGTGAGTGCGATAAAAGCAGCTTTCCTAGTTCAGAGTCTCTCCCTAGTGACTGAAAGAGGGAATGGCAGTGATGGAGCCGGAGGAGAGAGCAGTCCTCGCTCCACTCCTGGTGAACCCTTCCTGCTCCCTCTAACATGACAGCTCTGGTTAAACCAGTTAATCCACAATATTTAACCACAAAGCGAGTTTAAATTCCAATCCTGCGTTTATAGGCTGTTTACAATTATATAGAGAATAATTCATCAAATAAAGCAACCACACAACATGTTAACTGATCAATTAGACATTGTGCCTAGTATTTCTCACAACCAAAAGCAGATTGACTAATCCTTTCACTGTAAATCAGAATTAAAGCACTGAAGTAAACAGCTCACTCCGAAAGTGCCTCTACAGTTTCATGTCTACAGGAGCTATGTTTTTTTTGTTGATACACATCTTATTATGACATTTGTTATGATTCGAGGTTAAGGTGGAATAAAATGGTTGTTTTCAATCTGTAGAAAAGTTTATATGATTAAATTGTGTTGTTTTTTGTGATTTATTTCAGCACAGGTGTTTTTCTTCTGACAGGACTCAGGTCAGTGCATCTGGAGGTTTGACTGTAGTTATGACCCCTTTATATAACTAGCAAAGCAAATATTAACACTGTCCTCTCTATTTGTTCATGTAAAACAATATAACGACACAATGTCAAAGCATGTGTGTCAGTTTTTAGAAGCACTTTTATTCATTGTTAAATTAGCATAAGATCTAATTAGGAATAGTACGGTTTTTTGTTCTTTTTTTTCTCAAGCAAATTAAAAATACAAGTTGAACTTTTACCACACCCAGTCAGTAGTCACGTGGGATGTGACGTTTACAGCGTATAAAAGCGTTATCACGCGAGATGTCCGGTCTTGCTCTCCTCCGTCGGCGGTACGGTGCAGTCCCACCGCGAGCCTCCGACTGCAGCATGCAGTTTTCACCTTTTGTGGCGCGTTTCTCTACAAACATGGAGTTTAAAGCAGACGAGCCGCCGTGAACAGGTGATTATTTGAGGAGGAGTTGTGAAGAAGAGCTTTAATTTGAACCCTGTTAGCCTGTTAGCCTGCTAGCTATCCTTACGTGAGGCTAACACGTGCAAGACCGTGTAGGGGAAAAGTTACACATGTGATCTTGAAGTCGCTGCTGTGGACAACCTGGAGACATGCTCTAAGTTCACTGGCACGTAGAATAACTTCACCAACCCTTTATTAGATTAGATATTAGATTCAGATTAATTTAATCGTGTATTCTGCCAGGCGGTCACAGGAGCGTGGCCTTCCTTTGGTCACCAGCTAATGTCTCTAACTAAAGTTTAATGTATGATTTACTTAATATATTCTGTCTTTACAGGAATCTCTGTCTGATGTGGAAATGGACTCATTTTCCTGCCAGCAAAGGCTACGCTTCATCACCTACTGAAAGGTAAACGGACTAGAACTGGTGTGATATCTGATATTCCTCTCTCTGCAGCACATGTGATGAGTTTGTTATCCCTGTCTGAAAAAACAGTGTGGACAGCAATGGTATCTGACTGGCAGCTGACCTGTGCATGCTGACCTGCTGCTGAGTGACTGTCACTAATGAAATGTGTTTATTGCAGGTTCATGGTTCTCCTGTCCCCGTTTGGCCCCGACTACCAAAGGGAGGAGGCACGGTGAAAAGGTTTGTACCACCCTGCTTCTCCTGATCCACGCTGCCACTGATTCAGTGATGAAAACTGCTGCATAGGAAGTGCCGTCTGATGCGATAACTGACGATGGAAATAGCTGTTCTGAGAAATGCCGTTCAACCTTTTTGTGCTGTTGGTGCGATTCATCTGGCCACTTAATGATGTAGATGTGAAATGTCTCCCCTACAGGTCTCCACATCTGCAGAGTCAGACCGTGAGACGACACATGGGTGCTGAGATGAGTTGAACAGGTAAATGCTGCGAGACTCACACTTGATAATTGAAGGCAAGCCAGTGATGATAAAAGTTATCCCTGTCTGAACTTAAGTGTTGAGTTATGGTAACCTGAGGCTTGACTGGAGATGCATGACCAATATAGCTTTGGCTTACTGTAGTTGCATTATTGTAGAAGTCTAATCTCCCTTATTTTTACTTGCAGGTGAAATCAGTGAGGAAGTGGACACAACACCTGCCTGGGAATGATCAAGAAGTCGGGCACCATAAATGTATCAAATGAATGAGTTTCATCTAAAACATGTTTAATAAAATGTTAAGCTGTTGTATAAAATTCAAGTATTGGGCACATGAAAAGTAACAGGGATCCTACTGGGAGCACCCAGTGTGTCTTGGTCAATCTGTGTTGAAAGATGATCTGTAAGATTTCTTCTTCAGATTCTCCAAGAAGATCTGCTCTTCTTGGAGGTATTCACGGTCCTGTAGGGAGGAAGACAAAGTAATTAGGAACAGAAACACAACTTTCTTTTAAGTTTTGAAATGTTAAGAAGCTTCTGGCAGAAGATTCTTGTAACAAACTGAATGTGTTGGAAAGCTGATTGTGGGTTGAGCCAAATGTTGTAATTGTTTCATATAAACATTAAAATCTTGTACCGTACCAACGTATTTGTGTTCATTTTCTTTATATTATAAAGAATTAAATCCTAAGTCTAACAAAAAGCAACCCGTTGTGCATTTGAATCCCTTTTACTGGTAACTTGGACTGGTTTCATTTTGTTTTCAAGTTGTCGAATTATTCAGATGTTCTATATTAAATTCTAAAACATGGTTAATAGACTGACCTATAGCTTTTTTTTTTTTTTTTTTAAAGGTTTGCTACCTTCAGCGGGTCATGCACAAATCAAAATCATGTGACTTCTGTGGAGCCCATTTGTTTTTTGTTTTTTTTTCAATCAGAACATGAAGTTACCCTTTCTACAATGCGACTAAGCACAAGTGTATCTCCGTTGTGTTACCTTACCCTTTCTGCAGTGTACTTCCACAGAGCCAGACTAGCCTGAAGAGCCATGGCTTGAGGGTTAGCAAATGAAATAGGAGGGGGAATGTTCAAGGTTGATGCCAGCTCAAGGTTCGGTGACACTGAACCTGCATCTACAGATAAAAAGAACAAAACCTTGTTATTCACTTAACATTCAATGGGTTTATTTTGTATGAGTAACTTTTTTTTATTGACAGTTTCAATAACCACAATTAACTTCACCTGGTAACACGGGTGGAATCATTTGTGGTAAAGAGGAAATTGTAGTGTCTTGTCTTGGTCTCTCTGTCTCCTTCTGCAGATGACTTAACCGCATTTGCTCCTGTAACAAGTGTTTAATAACAACCACACAGTTACCGTTATAATGTGCTTTTCATATTTTTAGTAAAATAGAAGCCCAATCTGAAGGGTCAGCTGTCTCAGCGACACACACCTGAAGGATCCGTTGTTCTTGCTGCCTCAGCCGCTCGGTCTGCGTATGGATATTCCTGAGTCTTGCCTCGTGCTCAACCTCCACACGTTTTGCCTCCTGCAAGGCTCGTTCTCCATCCTCGTGCTTCTCTGCAGCAAGCTGCAAAGAACAGAGAGCGGTCAGATGTTACGTGTTAACTCTACATGTTACGTATGTATGTAGGAGTCTGTGTGGTGCAGATTTACCTTGCTAAAGGCCTCCACCTCTTGGGCTCGTGTCTTGAGTCTCAAGGCGGTGCTGCTTATTCTCTCTTTCTCTCTGTCCAGTTCTTCTCTTAGTCTTTCCAGAGTCTCCCTCTCCTGTGCCACAGACATTTGCTTTTGTTTCAGCTCTGCAGTATGAAGCTTTAGGTCAGCTTGTTCCTACAACAGACACAGAGATCCATTCCATTCATTTTGTCCTCTGGGGGAGAGCTTTGAAAATTTGACTGAATATATGCCATTATATTTAGTGATGTGAACCTAACCTTACTTTACAGGTAACAAAGTAGCACTTAAATGAGTAAATCCTCAGAGAAAGAGTGTCAAAACCAATTTCTCTTTTCTCTCTGTGGTGAAGCTGACCTGTGCCAGACTGATGATGGAGCCCTCTCTCTTCTCCAAGAGACTGCTGACTTCCCGCTCGGCCCTCTCATGCCTCTGCTTCTCCAGGGCGTGGAAGTGGGCCCACTCAGCTGCCAGCTTCCTCCTCTCCTCTGCACAATGCTGCATCACTGACTTCTGCTCCTCCAGTAATGCACTCTGATGGAAACAAAGAGACAGACAGGAGAGGTAAGGTCAACTAAGACTCAAGGTAGAGCACTTGTTCACCACCAGCACTGATGTTGTTCATCCGCCTCACCTTGGCTCTTTCCAGCTCCTCTCTTTCCATGTTGATCTGCATGCTGAGGGCACGCCGCTCGTCCTCCAGGCCTCTTTGGGTAGACTCTGCCTTGGCCTGGTCTGCTGTCATCTTCCAGCGTTCCTGAGGCATACAAATAATGGCATCAGTCTTTGAGGGGAAAAGCATCACTTTTAATTGTATGTATGCACTTGAGCTGCACTGCTAATGTCAAAGCAAATGTAGGTATCCTAAAGACAATCTATTTTCAAAGCCCGGTATCACCCTGACCTTCTCAAGCTGTCTCTGCTGCTCATTGAGCTGAGTGTCCATCCTGGAAATGATTTCCTTGAGGTAAGCTCTCTCCTCTGCCATGGCTTTTTGCTGCTGGGCCAGACGGTCCTGCATTACTGAAACATTAGAGAATGACCTTAACCCACTTGCAATGTGATGCCAACTACAGCATGCTATGAGACAACTTGTATCCTGACCTATTTGCACAAAGTGTTTGCGTGTGTGCGTGTGTGTGGTGTGGTTGTTGTGTGTGTGTTGTGTTGTGTGTGTGTGTGTGTGGGGTACTTCGAAGCTGCTCGTCTCTGTGCCGTGCTCCCTGCTCCAGGCCGTGAGCCGTGTGTTCATGTGTGCTCTCCACCCGGGAAGAAAGCTCTCCAAGCCGAGAGGAGAACTGCTCCATCTGCTCAATCACCACTGTAAGAGACCTGGACGAAAAACACAGACAGACCTGTAGATATTACAAAAATCTCTGAAATTCCAGGCTCACAGTTAAAGTAGAATAGAAACACTCTGCAGTTGTTTGATCTGGCTACATGCTTTATATCATAGGAATTTCATGTATAAAATTACTATAGAATAATGATGTCTTTTGATAACATCTTACCTGGTCTGAGATGTTGCGCTTGTGACCGCATCAATCTCTTCATCCTTTAGTTTCTTCAGTCTCTGGACCTGGTCCTCGTGGTCCTTCTTCATCTCCAAGATAGATTTCCTAGATGGCAAAAAAGGATGAATATAACAGGGACAGTCAACTTTAATGTCATTTATTTATCATAAAAAAAATAGAATATGCTCAATCTGGGACTTCCTGACTTATTTCAATAATTTAATTAACCTTGAATCAAACCCCTGATGTGTGGAAACATTAAGCTGCCTGATATAAAATAAAGACTCTAGAATAGTCCAAAACAGGTTAGGATATTTTTTTGTTGATTTTGACACAGCAAAGTACACTAACTTTAGTGATTGTTGTTGTGTTGTTTGGTTCTTAAGGAACTTTGTTTTTTTTTGCTTCATCCTGTTTTTACTCTTTTGTATGTATATTACTTTAATGACATTTCTGGTCAGTACTGTTGAATAAATGTTGTAGAACGACTCTATTACTATTGAAAATGTTTTCCTGGTGTACCTCTGGAGGTCTCTGAGTCTCTCCACCTCGCGGTCTCTGTCTTGCTGGGCCTGGGCCAGTTTGCGCTGGTACTGAGCCTGCAGCTCTGCGCGTTCCTGCTCAGCCAATCGTGTTACCGCGGCCAGGCGTTCCATTAGGTCTTCACACTCCTGCCGCGCTTGCGTGTCCCTCTGGGCTGCTGATTCCTCAAGAAGCTTCACTCGAGCCCTGGACGTGCAAAAAAAAAAATGCTTACAGTATGTGTTAAGCATACAGACAAACATAAGCTGCTTGAAGTGTAGTGAATTATGCATAATATATGGTAAACATGGAGACACGAGCTGCACATTTCCACTACAGAGTGTGTGTGGTCTAAATACTTGTGTGTTTTTTCCATGAGCTCCATATCCTGTTTATGCCGCTGCTGGACATTTTCTAGTAACATCTGGCTTTGGTCTCGCTCCAGCTGCAGGGTCTTCACCTAGACAATAACACACAGGAGTCTCAGGCTGCGCAGGTACATGGAGGGCGGGTTATTATTCCTCCCTGAAAATACAGCAGACATACAGTTCTTATTGTTTCCTTCTCATCACTACAACAGCATTAATGTACCTGTCCCTCCAGCTGGATGATTCGAGTCTGTAAAGCTTGATAGTCTCCAGGTTGCTGCTCTTTCTCCTTGTGTCTCTGCAGGGCCCCCGCATCCACGACACAACCTAGACCCAGCAACTGAGACTGCATCATCTTGAGGAGAAGAGTAAACAAGTCAAGAATAAACAAGGTGATAAATGTGTGTGTATATTTTGAATAAATCTGCAAATAGAGACATTTATGTTCCTCACCTGCTGTTGTAGAAGCAGCTGCTGCAGACTGTCTGCTGAAAGTGTCACCTTTTGAGAAGATATGGAAGTGATTAAAAAAAGCCATATTATATGATCTCCTCAATCATGACAAGCTGATTGCAGAAAAGCACAAATACCTGTTGTTGGACAGGAGCTGGTGTATTTTGCATTTGGGTTTGCTGTGGAACTGCTGGAAAGAAAAAAACAACCATGAGTAAGAATCATATTGATCTGCTCCTATTAGATATTAAAGCACTGGTGAAAATGCTACTGTATCTAAAACTACTTCAGATTTCCCCAAGATCACCTACACCACATTGAGCCAGGCAGTATGGCAGACACAGGGTTGAGCAACGGCAGCTGTTGCTGGGTTTCATCCGAAGCCTGACTAGGCCCTCGTGGCACCCCGGATCCCTTATCGGATGGTAAGTGGTAGGGTTGGGACTGAGGCTGGGGTTGGGTGTGGCTAATGCTAGCAGAAGAGGCTGCCAAGGGACCGGTAACTTGAGGAGGGCAATCTGAGGGATGAGACGAACCAAGAGTTTGTTCAAGGTCTACTTTAGCATGGAGAGCGGTTGGTGAGGCGGATGTTGAGGTGGGGGGGAGGTAAGGCTGGGTGGTGGGTGTATAATCGGCAACTACTGAAGGGGATTGTGATGGAGTGGAGGGGCGAGTTGTAATGGTATCTGTACGAGAGGAGGAGCAGAATGTGAGTTGATGAGTCGCTAAGATTACGAGCACAATGTGATAAGTATTAAGGAAGAATAAGGTCCGACTGAATGATTGATTAACCAGCTAAAAGAAAGGCTTCTACTCTAAATGCACCAGGGAGAGACGAGGCTTTGAAACGTATGGTTGCTATGCAATCTGAATTCATCATTTATCAGTTGTGTTGTAGTACGAGTAGTAAATACCTTGCTTGGTCCCCTTCTCTCTGACAGGAGTAGAATGAGCAGTGGGGCTCGGCTGTCCAAGAAAAGTGTTGCTGCACAAAACAAAGGAGAATGAAACTAGCAAAATATTGTCATCTACAGTACACGGGTTTAATGGATTGACACAACAAATATCATACCTAGTTTCCTTGACAGATGTAAGAGTGTCCTTTCCGCCCCTGGGAGCTTGTGAAGTGACTTGTTTACTGAAAACAAGAGCAAGTTATCATTCAGTACTGTGAAACAAGCTTCCTCTGTCATCGTACTTCCTTTGTTGTTCGTGGCGTCCACAGTACCTGACGATCGACTCTTCTTCTCCCAGGCCTAAAGAGTCTTCCTGCTTCGACGCTCTTGCCTCAGAGTTTGACACTGACAGAGCCTTCTTCCTGCTCAGTGCCCCTGCTAACCAGTCATCCTCCTCTTCTCTCTTCTGGCTTTTGGAGACCTCCGGCTTAGTTTGTTTTGTGATATTATCCGTCGGGGCTGGCGTGTCTGCTGCCGTTTTTGCGGCAGATGTGACGTGGCTACTCGTCAGGGAGGGCCTTCTCTCTACTACAGGAGAGGAAGGAGCCTTTGGAGACTCTGCTGAGGCCTTGGTCTCTTTGGCATCAAAGGTATGGTCGACGTTTGCCTTGAGGCCTAGCCAGTCAGCGGAGTTGCGGTGTCGAGAGGAGGTGGGGGTGGTGGGTATGGGTTTCTTCTCTGGGGTAGCGGAACTGACATCCTCTGTAGAAAATCTGATAAGAAAAAAAAGTGTTTTTCCCACAGCAGGCAAAAATCCCACTATAAAGCACCAAAATTGGACTTTACACACACCTGACAGACTGTCTGCGGGACTGGCGCCCTTCAGGCGTGGATACCAGCGTGGGCTGATAGGAGCCAAATGTGAGGTCATCTTCTAAAAGTGATTCTGATGAATGGAAACAAAATCAGCTTTACTTTGAAACTCATACTTACGCTAAGCAGAAGGTCAGAGAACGCTCAGCTACCTTTCACAGCGGAGGTCTTCTCCTGTTGCTGCTTTTCTTGAGGCTGGTCCTTCCTTTCGCCCGTCGGAGGTCGCTCCAGAAGACTAGGCGAAGGCAAACTCTCCAGAATCTCATCCAGTCTGGTACGAGGTCTCTGAGGGGGCTCGCTCCTAAATGTACGCACAGCAGAGGAAAAGAGGATAGAAGAGACAAGATATACAGTACCATGCAGCATGTTAACATACAAAGGAAGGCAGGGAAAGTTTTTGCATTTTTTTTTTTTTGCAAACAAAGAAAGATGTTGCTTTGTAAAAACATTGTCAGAGTTAAGCTTTGTTTTCAGCTGCACCCCAAGGCACTAAAGCAGTAATTATTTATCATTTCAGCACTATAAATAAAGACAAACAATGAGAGTGAGACAGTGAGAGTGGAAACTGAGCTGTTACCTTTCCTTGTTGGGCCACAGCGCAGACTCCTTTTTCTTGGGGTTGTTTTTATCGCTGTCAAATCCGAGCGCATCCATTAGGTCATCCTTATCATCATCAAATGTAAGATCAGCTTGTTTCTTTGCTGCCTTTGCTGGTGAACAAAGAACACACACAGACAAACACATCTAGGACTTTAGTGTTTGTGTGATTGCATGAAAAAGGTGGGAAGAAAAAGAATAATTACGGATCATTTGAGGCTCACGTGTTTCAGTCTTTGGGATAAGAGATGCGGCAGAAGATGGTGCAGATTTTCCAGCTTTGGCCTGCTGTGTGCTAGATTTAGATTCGGGCTTGGTTTCATCTGGAAGCAAGTCATCAAGTAGATCAGCTAGGGGGTCGTCTAGATCTGCAGTGGAAATGAGATTCTTTACTCTTTTTACACTGTTTTCGGACACTACTGTACGACACGACTGTAAAGCAACAAAGGGATCATATAGATAGATACTAATAACACATACAACCATGTACACATATGTTCAAATAAATCCAAATTATTTGTTTGTAGATTGTATGTTGAGGTTTGTACATTTGTGATACTGTCACTTTTTAGTGTCTGCACCTCTCCCCCAGACGCCCACTGAAACTACTGGTATCAACTACAAGTAACAGGCCAAACACACATCACATCTGTTCTAATGTACCTTTAGCGTGAGGTGTCTGACCAAGACCTTCGTCATCACCATCACTGTCTAAATGAATGCAGCAGTTCGAGAAAAGCAAAGCAAAGCTATCAGTAAGCAACTGTTGAGTTATATAAAGCTCGGCAGCGCAGAGGGGCGGGTCACTCACCAGAGAACGTGAACTTCTTATAGTTATGTGCCGTGGACGAAGGCGCCGAGTTTGGCTTCTTCCCTCTTGGGGTGGGTTCGTCTGAGTGAAGAGGGGGGAGACACAGCCCGCTCTGATTGCTGCTAATGTAAACTTCAAAGCCGGTAATCACGTGAAGCTAATAATGAGAAAATAATGAATGCAGGAACACGCCGCACTGAATTACCTGCTCCCTCTGGTTTTACGTTCCTTTCTAACGCGGAGGAGTCTTTCTTTGGCCCCTCATTACCGAACTGCTTTGTTTGAGCAGGAGCTGAACTCAGCTTTTTCTTTGATGAAAAAAGGTCAGCGTCCATATCATCCATGTCCTGAATGAGGACAGACAGACAATAGGCAGCGTGAGTGGACCTGAGACCTTGTACAGACAGCTACGATGATGAACTTTGGGTCTGCATTTCCACTGTTTATAATGACCTACCTTCATGTTCTTCAGTATGTCACTGGGATCTGCTGCAGAGACATCGGAGTCCTTGGACAGAAAAGTAAATGTTAACAAAGAGACAGTAAAATTATGCAAGAAATATAAGACATATGAGTATGTACTGTATACGTATCTATGTCTCCCTTCACGTACCTCAGCGCCGCCTCCATCCCTCTTCACCTCCTCTGCTAGCATACTGAAGATGTTATCAGTGGCAAAAGAGCTGGAAACGGAAAAAATGATTAAACTCACAAACGGGGCGAGTTATAATTTAGAATTAATGGTATTTAACTGTTGAATTCCCCCAACTTACCGGTTCAGTTGTCCACTGCGGGTTGTTTTCCCCCTTACTGGGTGTTCTGGTGAGTAAATTGTTGAGAGAAAATATCATAAATGGTGAAGCTTTCACAGTGGTGATACCATAATGATAAACTGCTGAACTGCTCACTTACTTTCATCATCAAATAAGCTGTCGAGGAAATCATCATCTCCAAATGAACCTAGGCAAAAAAAGAGGGAACACACTTTTTACACAAGCTTGGGACTCTTCATCTGATTACACTTTAATTTGCCTCTGTGTATATCTGATTATACTGCCACAAGCTACTGTTTGTCTGTTATTGTTCTGGTGGAGGGATCCTCCAGATGATTTGAGGATCTACAGACGGACAGACAGACAATGATGTGCAGATTGTAAAGCCCTCTGGGACACACTTGTGATTTTTGACTATATAAATAAACATGTCTTGATTTGAAGTGGATTCCTGCAAAGTAAAGCCTAAAACAGCGCAGTGCAGCATTCAACTAACACTAGAGGGACTTACTTTTGGATGATTTGCCCTTCAGCTTTGTAGCCTGTAAACAGCAATGAAACATAACCAGTCACTTCACAGCTGGAGTAGATGGACCTAATGCAACTTTCTACTGCAAAGACCAAATCGACTGAACGCACACAAAGTGGTTAAAACCTGCATTTAACTTTCCCACTGACAAATCACAACCATGTAGGTTCTGTTGGACTCACCATGTTGACTCTCTCTTGGTAGCGTTAAATTTCAGGGTGGCTAGCTGACCTAGCTAACGTTAGCTAAGTTAAATCTGATCAGGCGTCTCCTGTCTCCATTGGTAACCACTGTGTTACCGGTCAGCGAGCACGTCAGAGAGACAATGCACACTTGTAGTTACATCATATGGCTACATAACGCGTTGTTTCACGCTGTAACACTTGTGTGTTTAGTCGCGACGTTGTTTTATTTAAAACGTGGCAACTTTGCTAACAGTACGTTACGTTAAGGCTGAAACCATTCACACCGCTACAGACTAGCTAACAGAACTACATAAACAGCCGTTAGCCACGACTAGTTCAGTCTGCTGACACAAAGTTTATGGTTGTAATGGCAACGTTTAAGGTTTGAGCTGCCCGTAAAACAAAAGGCAAATCACAAGCGTCTATTTTTTGAGAGATTTAGTTGCTGCAGCAGCATCATTACCACAACCCGGTGCGAGACACACATTTCCTGTTTACAGTCTGCAGTGCATTGTGGGTAACGTAGTTTCAGCGTACCCGTTCAGGAAACATATTTCAGAAATGAGTTTGTTTTGGGCTGCGTTTAAATGTTGAAGTTGCTCGTCTTTGACTCCCTTTGACATCTTTAGCTGCTTCCTTACTTGGTGAAATATACATCTAACTCTTTCACCACCAGGTGGCGCCAGAGCTCAGACAGATAGTGGAAGTAAATCAGTGACAGCAAAACTGAAGAGCTGAATAATTTATCTTCTGAAGCCTATGTTTAATTCAGTGAGGTCTAGGCCTGATGCTGCACTCTAATCAGTACGATGATAACTTCAGTAAGCGCATTGCTCAAATTTATAACTATTCATTCCTCTGCTCCTCCATCTCCATCATCACAAAACCCCTCCATAATGCTGTGTTAGTGTGCCAGTGGGGAGTTGTTATGTAGGGGGTCTTAGTGTATCCTGCTGCAGACAGTATACAAATCTACAGTTACTGTGATAGATTAAACAGCAAAACACTACAAAACTCTCACTTCCATCTGATAACTGATAGTAATTCTCCTGCGATAAAGTTGCATGAGTGTGTATAGAAATGAGTTTATAATGCATGGCATGGGATGATCTTTACCTTGCGATTTTGTAGATGACTGTAATGATGGGGGGTTGTTTTTACTGTTGTGTTTCTGTGATTTGATACTGCACACACTGTGATGTCCAAGGCATATTTCCCACTAGAACAATAAAGTCTATCTTATCTTATTGTGTTTTGTGCTTTATATCAATATTTAAGACTTGTTTCAGAATGCACTTAATGCAGGAAATATATAGAATATAAAGAACCTTGATGTTGTAAAGCAAAAGTCCAAGCAGAATTGATGTATACTTTGAAGAAGAACACCATTTACAGCAATGTCAATCTACATTTCTTATGCAATCTGAAACATCTATTTTACACTTTGGAGGCAAAAGACATTGCTAATAGCACACATAGATGACAATAACTGTATGCAACCAACAAAACCAAACAAAACTGACCATTTCTAAACTAGAGGGGAAATAAATGCTTCACTGATGTCATTATAAGATAAATGCACATATTTTAATAAGTTAACAGCAACACAAACACAGCTATTCTTAGTTCATAGAAAAGAGACAATATCAGTGACACTCAGAAGCACACAATGACACACAAATGCATTTCACTGCTTTATTTAATCAGCGGGCTTCCCCTGTGAGAACAACATGAACCTTTAAGGGACTCACGGAATGACCCTACCTGCCATACAGTACACGAGACAATACATGACTTCAGCCCCTAGTTCAGGATTAATTAGGTCACTTATGAGATCTTCAGAGAAGCTACTCTTTAAGATACATCCTGTCCTCATACATACATTTATCACAAATAATTGAAAATATTTTAAAAACAAGAAGATCAACTAAATCGGTATAGCTGGTTTTAATGCAGAGGCACAGAACATGTTTTATCATTAAAACCCGACCACATCTGTTCTGTAACAGAAAACAATACTGTAAATTCAGTTTTCATGACAAATACACAGCTTTGTCAGGCTTCATCTTCCAAGCTGGAATTCACTCAGTTGCTCTTTCTTGTTTCAGTAATGAGAGCATCTGCAGAACAGATAAGGGAAGCCACGATCAAAACAGGGCTCATTGTTTTTCTAGCCCACTTTTTTTTTTAAATCCTGGTGGGAGTCTTGTCGTGAGCTGTCAAGTGCACATGAATCAGAATCTGATCAATGAGAGAAAACAACAAAAAAGATAACAGGAAGTCTCTCTTGTAGTATCTGGGGGAGAATATCTTGATAGCAGCGGCCACTGAAAAAAGAAGGGAAAAGAAATCAGGGTTTGCTGCTTTAAAACTTGTGAAGGAAATACACATTGTCCTCTTTTTTCTTTTTTGTGGACAATTTATCTATTTGTCTTCTGGTTTAATTCATAGCAAATGACCGAGCTCACCTGAAGCTCACCAGACTTGATGGCCCACGCTGATCTTGTCTACAGGGGAGGAGGAGTAAAGGAAAGTAAAAGCTGACATGCAAAGTCATGGTAATGTTTGAAAATAATCATGAAATGATGATTGACAAGAATGAATCACCCTGACTCAGCTGAATACACTTAACCCCATAAAAATGACTCAGATAACAAGTGAAAGATATCAGAGGCCTGTGACCTACAGGTAAAATGGTCTGTTGGTTTATTACTTTATGTCAAGATCTCTTACAGCTGCGTTAAAGCGTGTGGCTGTATGGAGGTACTGTACTTATAATAACCCTCCGAAGAGATGATGGATTGTTGTTCTGCCTCTGAATCATTTAGTATTAGCAGTGTAGCAGCGAATACTTAAAAGCTAAATGTGGGGCAGGCATCTTAGCTCTTTATGCATCTGTGCCTCTGTAACATGCTACACTGCTCCACTTTCTCCCCTTGTCTGAAGCCCCTTCTGTAAACCTCCCCTAACACACACACACACACACACACACACACACAGCACTTCCACATAACTGTCTCTTTCTCTATCTGGATGTTTTCCTATCTCTCTTTCTCCCACTGTGATTATCAGTTTTTGTGTTTATATACTGTATTTTAATTCACATCTTAATTTAATTTAATTTGATACAATCAGTTTATAACATATAGCATATATAATATAGTTTATAATATATAGCATATATAGCATTAGCCCAGTTTTTTTGCTCCAAGATACTGCCGACAATACAAACACTGCTATCTTCAAATAAGTTTTGTTCGAGGTAAAGTGCAAAGTTTACTTAAAGGGGTACTCCACTAGTTTTACATATGATTATCAGTTTACTCATCATCAAGAGCCAGTGAAATGTTTCATAGGGCTGGCTGTCTGGCTATGCATTTGTTTTCTTTCACATGAACTATTATGAAAAATATACATTATTGATTTAAATGAATAATGTAAAACATCAGATAGAAGCGAATTGAGGTGTTCTTGTCTGGTGACAGGGTTATCTCAGATTACAGCTTATAACAAACTTTATTTTACAGGTCCCAACTTTTTTATGGAAACAGCAAATTGGTCATAATTAGCAAGAAACGAAGGTCTGACAGTCGTTTGAGTTCAATTAGATGTTGAATTAAAGGGCAGTTGTTGGAATTCCCTTTAAAAAAGAACTGCTCCATTCAAAACCAAGTTTATATTACATTATTGTCATTGTATTCTTCATACATACAATTCTATTCTTTCACAATTGTGTATTTTCAGCTGACCAGCTTTGCACGGACTAAAATATCTCTAGGTGATTAATTCGAGTAGTACTAGTTGAACGCTTTTCCCTAAAATAAGTAGCAAGTGACATTATCCTTTTGCCGGAAACTTTATAAGAATATACAGTTACATATCAGTTCCTTTTTAGGAAACTCTAAGAAGGTATGGGAGTCATAGTGTTATCCAAAGAGCCAGTTTTACAAACTGGGCGCATGGAGTTTGGAAGACATGTGTTTACCAGGCAGAGAAACATGAACCATGCTATCAAGTGCCACAGTTTTTGAAGCTGAAAGCTACCCTTTCAGGGCTCATATAGCTCTATAATACATCTGCTCAGTCTGTTTTCATTGACTTGACTGTCTATGTGTCCTTACCCTGTGATGCTCACTGTTGTCTTTTTGGGGTTTCTGCTGCTCCATTGCTCTTCATGTATGGCACATCTTTCTCAACAGCCTCTTTCTGCCTGTGATACAGAACATAATACTCAATACTAAATGCTACATATATGTATCATCACAGTGCCTGGACACAGTTATCTGGGAAGAGATTTGTAAATGATGTGAACTCATAAAAAACTGGAGGTTTTCCTGTTTATTAGCTCATAATTGTGTGAGCTAGCTGTTGCCATGCTCCATGGTGCCACGTGGTATTGTTTGCCATTGCTGTATGAGTGGCTAAGAAGGGCCGGGGGGTGGGGGGGCTTAGAAGATTGCACTTTACGTCAATTAGCAGCTATGAACTCAAGAGCTCTGATGCTTTGCCCTCCATTCATCTCTCCATTAAAAAAACTGGAATACACTGTTGTTATGTATCGAGCCACTTAATCCACACGCTGCTGCTCCAGGCGAACCCTAAAATAATCACAGTAGTGATTTCAAATCAATGGTGCAGATAGGTCTCACCGTCCTCCCTCACTTTCCCACACATGAAACAGGCATGCACCTTCTGAGTTTGTGTTTGTTCACATTTTGTCAACCGTATGGATTCAAGTATTTTATGTGTATTTAATGCTTTTCTAACAAGACTCAAGCTGTTGAATTTGTCTTTTTTTGTTATCCGGCATTGGAAAATCTAGTCTGAACCTAAATCTAAAAAGCTGAATCTTGAAAAAGAAGTCTAAAAAAGTCTGTTATTTGTTTCGTGATTGAAAATACAAACAGATTTTCTACAGATGGCCTGCTAAAATTCACAAGAGTTCACGAGCAGTACTCACGGCCAGATTTTGCCGGAAAATCTCTGCCGCAGGATGAGAGCGATGGCGGTGAGGACCACCATAGTGGTGCACATGGTCCTATCCCCAAGGACCTCCTGCCTTTGGGACTGGTGGTGTTTTATAGCACTGAGACTTCTCCTCCCATTGAAAGGCTTGAATGGTATGAGTTTGTGGTGTAACAATCTTGACTATTCCTGTCTTCCTTCTTGGCTCTTACTCATGATTGAGGAGATTAGCTCAGAGGATTAGCTAGGATCAAGGGTGGGGTTGGCTCTCGCTGGTAGGACTAGGAGGTAAACAGAGCATTCTGTGTGTTTCTATTCTGAAAACCTGAAAAAACCACCTCGCCACCATGTCGTCAGCACAGCAAGCCACATCAACTTTGATGTTGTGGGTTTTTTTTGTTTAAGGAAGGACTGCATTTTGTTAGAGGGCCACCAATCAAGCAAATGTATATCTGGATAAAAATAATTTACTGATGGCCAAGTGCACAGTTCCTGCAGTATATTGTGAAAAGAGAGAGCATGGT